AAATGGGACCCTGATGAAAATTCGTTTCTTCCCTGCTGTTAGCACCGAGGGCTTTGGCGGTCTTTCGGATATGTTCTTAGTCCCAACATCTCAGCATTTCCCAGGTTGCCAGTAAAAGAATACAGTAGAGGCATTACTTCCGCATCCACCTGGCAACTCTTTTTATCACCTTTAAAAAGCCCCTAGTTCACCAACCTCTGACACTCGTTGGTTTTCAGTGGGCTATGTGCGACTTCCTTTTCGAAATTACTGATAGTAAACGTCTCAGCACTCTTCAAAATCGCAAAATTTTAAGCCAAAAACGTCCTCCATTCACTATGAATAACATTAGGCATACAAACCACATAACAGCGGGAGGTCACAAAGAATTCATAATGACCGAACACTGCAATTACCAACACCATGACAAATCGTCCTTGAATGAGTCACAAGACTGGACATCTTTCAAAATGGTCCTAGCGTACGGCGATAATGGCTTTATTGTCGAAATAAGCGAATATGCGAGTTCCAGGAAGCAGTTCAGAAGAAGATGCGCTTACTGGCACAAGAATCTTATTTTACTGACAATTCGGATTCTGTCGAAAACCCTTAACCATAGGTAACCGTAGAATGGTGTGAGACATGCACCGATTGGGATGATAAATGCACAGATTACACGGTATTTATAGTTCATAGCGGCCATCTGCATGCATGCTATAATTATCAGTTCCTGTAACCACTGCTTGGGTCGTAATTGATGCGGTGATGGCTTGGCAGTTCGCTTCCGAATCATTAATTGCCGCGATTTTGTTGTCCGTGTCGGATACGGACTGGATAATTGAAAGACAATTATGTTCGCTGTCGTCGGAGTTGCTGCTGAGCCTAAGCCCTTCCCACGTGTCTGATTCTCCAGCTCAGACAATGTCTCAGTACGCAGTATGGGAACGGCAGGTCGTTGCGCTTGTTGATTTATTGTGGGCCTGAGGACCATGACTCGATTAGCTCGTGGCTTACGCAGTTTCCACTTCGGTGAGGATTCGTCCTCGTTATAATTTAAAATATGGCCATGTCCCGTCGATTGAGCTGCAACCTGGGAGTAAGCGTATTTCTTCCTTACCGCCGCTGCGTGTTCGGCCATTCGCTTCTGAAGAAATCTTCCGACACCACAGACCGAAATTCTGGGCTTGGAC